GGTGGGGGCGAAGGGGGGTGGGGGGTTGATGTGAGGAGTGAAGGGCTGCTAAACTGTTTAGGGAGATTTCTATGCATACTAAACAGGTCCAATCATAGCTGTCTGAAACAAACAGGACTCTCTCCGTTTGCTGTTATGATGCCGTGCTTACACATTTCTCCAGGTGCTGACAAGGTTTCCTTGTATCCGTGCTTTTACCACTGATTTTTATATCAAATAAAGTGCGGGTACAAGTAAATAATGATCAGTATCAAACAGTAAATCTCCATTCAATCTTCTGATCAGGTCAATATACAATTAATACACACCTGTGCACACACATACACATACACACCAACAAACATACACTGATAAGCACGGGGACTCACCTTCTGTGGGTGAGGTTTTCAGTCGTTTGCACAGACCCTCTACGCCCCCGTAGTCCTCCTGGAGCTTGACCACTGCCTCTGTACCACGCAGCTCCATCAACGAGCGCAGATCCATGAGCGAGCAGCCGAAGCCTGCTGCATGGCTGCCCTCGTTTCTTTGGTTCTTGGCATAAAAATCGCTGTTAGACATGTCCCCCATGATGTCAGCGAGTCAAGTCAGTTAGATTAGTGTTTGTTATTGCTTATAGATCAATCAAAAATCTTGTACAACAGAAAGATGAGCTCAGACTCATCCAAAAAATCCCAAAAAGGTGTGAAGCAGGCAACAACAACCATAAATGGGGGGGTCCCACTTGTGGGTAAAATAGGCAAATACAGAGGTTAAAAAGGGGGAGGGGGGATGCAAGGGTATAAATCGATGAGCAGTGCTGTTTCAGGAGAGATGGTCAGATACCAGCAGACAAAAAACCATCAAAGAGAAGAACAGAAGAAGAGGAGAAAGAGCAGCCAAGAACAAGGAGAGGAGGGGATGACGAAACACAAGTGGGGAGCATCCAGGTGAGCGCTGGACAGCCCCAGTGGTCAGGTCCTGAGAAGGGCAATGATGGTGGTTACAAGTCCTCTTGGTCTCAGGTTCACCACGGCTGCAGTCCAGACCCGCTCCATGTGTGGCTTCCCATTGCTGCTGTTCTGCTGTTACCTCCGCTGCCTCTCTGTCTCTACATGTTGGTCTTCCCCCTCACTGCTACAGAGAGGGAGAGAGAAAGAGAGGGAGAGGGAGAGTGTTGAATTCAAGAGATGAATTCAAAGAGGACAGAATGGGAGGGAGGAGGAGAGAGAGACAGAGAGAGAGAGCACAAAGATGAACGTTGTGTTCTCAGGGCAGGGGTGAATGCAGCAGTAGATGGTGCACGGCTGAAGGACAGCCTCTCCTAACTGCTGCAGTAACTGTGGCTCTGATGTCTATATAAACTGCTGCTGCTGCTGCTGTTGCTGCTAACCTCATTCTGAGGACAACCCGACTGACAGAGAGAAAGAGAGAGAGCAAGGGAGGGGGGAGAGAATAAGAAAGAGGGAGAGGGTGGAGAGAAGAGGATGCTCCTTTCTGGTGCAGAGCAGAGAGGAGGTGTGCGCGGGTGGAAGGCTGGGGCTGCTCTGACGACAAAGCAGAGAGGCAGCACGTAACGCTGCGTTGTCACAGGGAGGATGGGCTGAGCTGTGGAGCTACTGCTGCTGTCTCACCACTAGTTCTCTCTCATTATACAGTAAGTGACCTCTCCTATGCAGCCGCTCTATAGTGATACATTCCTCTCTGCCTGGTGACTTTTAATGCCTTGTATTAATAATATCAGTCCATGTCTCCATCCCTCTCCCCTTAGGACCACACTCAGGTCAGAGAAGAGACTTCTGTAGCATTAATGAGTTTACTGGATTAAGGTAACACAAAGTGTGTAACCAGTTTACATCAACTGCCCAAATGTATTGGTGTTGAGTGAGTGTTTTTCAGTTTCTTTATTTTATTTTATAGACAAGTCCCATGAAAAGACTGGAACTAAATGTTGGTTTGTCTGCCTACCAACTTCTGTGGCACTCAAGTCCATTTGTGTCTACTGAAGACGAAAATATTTAAGAACAGATCACATATACAGTGTCATTCAAAAATGGTTAGGTCATTTCTTAAAACCACTGAGCACTCTAGTTATTAGAAACATACTCAGACAGTGATGATTTAATAGACATTTGGTCCTCTAGTGACTATTTATAGCATCAGGACACTCAATAAACATCAGCATCCAGGTTCATTGTAATGATAAGTAATATGTCAGTTGTGTCTTTTGGACGACATTGGAGGTCAGAACAATAAGTAACACAAACAATAGCAGCTCACAGAATCAACTCATTATTACTTTCAGTCTTTCCAACAAATTTGTTAATAAAAGGGGGAAAATAGCACACTATCCTCTGTACATACAATCTACTGACCTCCACACAAACACATATTACAATAATGCACAAAGCACTATTGATCCGTCATCAGTGATTTACATGAGTAGCTCCATTTTAAATCAATGATGTCACTGACCCAGCATGTCACACACTGATCACCTCCTCGATAGATGAACCTCAATGAGATACTGTATCGTCAGTATCATTATCGAAAGTAAACCTTTGACTTCAGTTAAAATCAGACAAAAAGCAAAGCCATCAGCAACTACTACAATGATAACACGGCTGTCACGTGATTCAAAGTACAAATTTATAAAATGATGGACTTGGTCAGTCTTTTAAGGTCATTAGGGTTTTAGTGCACAGTCTGGCCTTGAGGGGCTCCTTTTTTATGTCACACATCACACTCCTTTTCAGTATATAAAGCCTGCTTTATAGACAAAAAGTTATCAACTCCAAACAATATATACATATGCATGCAATTGTTATATGTATAGGTACAGTAAATCAAAAGTGAAACCAGCCAAGAGCAAGCAGCTAGAAATGGTAGCTGCTTGTAGCCGCTAAGTGGTTATGTCGAGCTAAAACATGTGCCTTGTGACTGCTGCTGTGAGTGCTAGTGCACTATGTAGCTTTCCACATGTTCAAACAAGAGAACAAATAATGGAACTAACTAGTCATCTTTTCGAAGTTGTTTCGCCTTGTATGTAGCAAAAACGACCAATCGTAGCATGGCCAGGTAACAGGAATGTGAATACATTATTCACGCCTCTCAAGAGTAGAAGCCGTTTCGTTGCACAACCATTCCCAGAACTTAAGAGACTCCTTGACACAAGAACAGGCCAGACAAGTCAGGGTAGCATGTTACAAGATCCTGTTTGTCTGCCCATGTGTTGACTGTCTGGAAGTAGCAACAGGAATTAACAAAAAGTTCACTTAGCAGCAAATAAAATGCTGAGGTAGCAAGCACACTCAGATTCTTAGTACAGATGGCCACACTGACACAGTCATGAAAATGCTCAGTCACTAATACCAAGTGTGATGAAACACATGGGACTGGTACCAGACGCAACTGTGTGCTTGGGAACAGCGGGGCAGCAACCTTGTCACAGCAGGCTAGTGAGAAACCCTGCCAACATGTGAGTACACATCTGTAACTCCACAGGAACCAGTCCTGTCTGTTAATGAGCGCCGGCCCTGGAGTGGCAAAGTTAGACAGGATCCGCGGTCTCACCTGGACAGGGATGACCTACAGTAACAAAACTGCTAAACATTTCTATAAAGCAGATTAAGGAGAGCATGTCCAACTAAGGCAAATGTTCCGTCTTTTCTCACCTACAGATGAACATAGCAATGACACATTAAACTGAAAAACAGCATATATGTATTTCAGCTTAATTGGGTTTTGGATGATTTATTCATTTCTTAAACAAAAAAGGACAGCATGGGCAAGACTACATTTTTTGTTTTTTTTTCCTCCAACCTTTTATGCTGCCCCCTCCTTCGCCTACTGATCAGGTCCAGTCAATGTTGGCGGTACTCTCTGCATGCCAATGCAGACATCTGTGCCGGCCAGATCCTTCAAAATCATCAAATAAAAGCAAACAAATGCTCTCCCAGGAAATTATATGTGTGTCTGTGTGTGTACAGTATCTGTGTGTCTGAACTGTTAATCAAGTGACTGGCTGAGAAATGAAACTACATCACACAGATAACTCTCTTTTGAACCTACACGAGAGAGACACTGCCACCATCACTCACTCCCAGTGTTCTTGTACTTCAGAGTAATGTGTGTGTTGTAGCCTGCTGGCTTGTCTTTTGCACTCAGATTACTGAGAAAACCAGAGTACTCCGAGAACACCCGCACAGGTATGGGGAGAACATGCAAACTCCACACAAAAAAGCCCTCAATGGCCTTTAGGGTTCACACCCAGAACCTTTGTGCTATTAGGCAACTGGTGCTGACCACTGCAATACTGCGCCTCCCCTGTCTTCTACCAATTATAAAGTGAGATACTTAAAGGCTTACATTAATTTAAAACAACTTTATCAGGAACATCAACTGTATAAAATTTGAACAACATGACAGCACCCAGAGGTGAAGCCACCATGACTTGATTGCCCTCCGGTGGCTGGCTGCAGTATAGGTCATAAATCCCGCCTCCTCCATGTTAATGGATGGGACACGAGCCAAACTAAAAACTCAAAGTAAAACTCAGCAAAATTTTTCCCAGAGGTCACCTCTGTGGTTTTTGGTGGATTTTATCAGACTGATGTGTACAAGTGGTAAATGTTCTTAGTTTGTTCTAATAAGTTGTGATGTGAATATATAAAAAGGGATGTATGTATTTCAGTTGACGGCTATGATTGGGCTCTGATGCTGTCACCACTTCTGGTCTCTACTGGGCAGAATCTGGTCACAAAAAAGCAAGATTGTAGCTGCCATATTCACTCATTTGGGGCTGTGTATTTCCAGCTTCATATTATCATGTTAGTGATGTAAGTGACCGGTGGTGGTGGTGGTGTTATATTCTGCTAGCATGTAGTTATCTACCTTTAAATTATGATGACATGCAGGAATGGGAGAAATTGAGATGTGGGAGTGGAGTGAGGAGACAAGAGAGGAGAAGGGGAGAGAGGAAAGATGTAGCTGGCAAAAGTTACAGAATTACAGAATAAAGATGGGAAGGTGTAGTCCAAGGGTAAGATAGAGGTGCAATGTACTGCTAATACCCGAGTAACCTTAAAGCAAACAATGCTCTACTTTCTATAGAATGCATGCACACCTCCTGTTTATTTGTCTAGCTTCTTTCCTACTTGCCAGTTTGCATAAATTGTTGCTAAGTCCCCCATGGCTTGTCAGTGAATAATGAGTAACATATGAACAAAAACACTTAAGAAGAAAGATTTTGCAATATTCAACACCTTTTTACCTAAATTGTGAGAACACTTGATTGGATACCATATGGGATCCACAATCAAATGTGAAGCGCTACAGTCAGATTCGACAAGCAATATACCATGCAATGTCTGATCTATGATGAAGTACAGAAAAACCACTAACAGATATTGTATACTTTTGCTAATGAAACACGAGTGCCACATCACCAAACATTAATTGTCTGTACAGCCTTGTTTTCTGAATACAACTTAAGGTTACTTTTTTGTTTGTCTTAATATATTTAACCATCTGTTAGCATCTTTGTCAGAGTTTCAAGTTATTGCTATTTTTCATTTAAATGGCAAATAAAAAAAAAAAAAGAACTGATCAACCTAGCTTTATTATTCTTTTATCGTGTTATTGCAGTACATACAGTACTGGTAAAAACAGAAATATAACTTCACATTCATCTAATGTATTACAAAATCATTTTTCTCCAACCTTATCAATACTTCCCAATGATATTTGAGGCTTTAAAGAACTGAAGATATGATATTAGGGCATCCAACACTAAGTAAGCATCACTTCTGAGAAAGTTTAGCTGAGCAAAAAGTCAAGCACCTTTACGTAACTGTGATAGTAAAACATTCTGCACTGTACTTTTGAATTTTTGTCTATATTGTGCCTAATGATTTACTTACTTGCTGGGTCTCTCTGTTATGCTCTACAATCTCAAAAAATGTGTTTTAATGATAAAATTGTGTTCTAGAATAATTGCTGCTTTCCCTTCTATGAATGGTTTCTGGTCTGACAAGCAAAGGGTGGTTTGCCGTCCTCCACAGTGAAGCCATGTGCATTCTCTATGTGTCTATCTCAAAATGTCCTTGAGCACAAGTCGGGCAGAGCTGAAGTATAAG